GGTTTTTACCATCATTGTTTAAAAGGGACAAAAGAGAGGGGAGAAATTCCTTGGTATTTTTCTGGAGACTGTATTGTGAGTAGAAAATTGAGACAAGGATCCTTTGGAACTGATTTTTTAAATTTTTTTTTTATTTTCCCCCTGCATTGCTCCTGTGTGGATTCACTCTTAGTTTGGTTGAGAGGATTTCTGCAATTACATTAAAATGCTTGGTTATGGGATTGAGTAGGAGTAACAATCAAAGCAATAACTCTGCAGAGCTGTCACTTAACAATTCAGAAAGGCATTTAAATGCCTGAAGATGTGATTTTAAAAGTAAGTGTCTATAGCATCCCTAGCTGATAGAACCTTCTGCAATGCCAGATGGAATCATCTGCCCTTTCCTGTACAGTAGCCATAGCCACATGTGGCTGTTGGGCATTAGAATTGTGACCCGTGTGATTGAGAAACAGCATTTAAAAAAAAAAAAAAAAAAATATATATATATATATATATATATATATATATATATATATATATATATATATATTTTACTGATTTTTTACAGAGAGGAAGGGAGAGGGATAGAGAGTTAGAAATATTGATGAGAGAGAAGCATCAATCAGCTGCCTACTGCATACCTCCTATTGGGGATGTGCCCTCAACCAAGGTACATGCCCTTGACCGGAATCGAACCTGGGACCCTTCAGTCCGCAGGCCAATGCTCTATCCACTGAGCTAAACCAGCTAGGGCGAAAAACTGCATTTTTAACTTTATTTAATTTTAATCATTTAAATTTAGTCACATGTGGCTGATTGCTACCATATAAAGCAACACGGGTCAAGGGACTTCAGACAAGCTAGTTGGGGTATGAATGAAGTAGAAATTCAGTCCTAAACATTTTGGATTTGAAATAAAAGCTGAAGAAAGGAGACCAGAATTTCAGCTTATGATATAAAAGTGTATCTTTTGGATATGACGCAATCCTATTTCTTTTGTGTTTGATTTATCAACTTTAAAAAGTTGATAGAAAGTATGTGGAGAAAAGAAACTTTCAGTAAAATGAGTTTATAGTAGGATTTATTAGCTGCTTGGTCATTTTTAAAATTTTGTTTTTCACCTTCATATTATATAAACATCCAAAGCAACCAGCTGACACAGTGTCTGAGTCCTCACCAGAAAAGGTGCTCCTTACACAGAAGCAGGAGCTAGGCTGATCTTTCCAGTAGTGATGCCATTTCAAAAGTGCAACCCAGAGAAGGGTACATGATGGTGAAACTTAAAAATAATGTTAGTTTTTCCTTCTCTTCAGTGTCTAAACAGCTCTTAGGTCAGGCCACATCATCTCTCCCTGGGCTGTTTCAGTAACTTCCCAGCTGTTTTTGTGCCTGTGTGTATGTGTGTGTTTGTGTGTGTGTGTGTGGGGGGGGGGGTGGGAAGACATTAGTGTGGGGGGGGGGGCCCAGGGGCTATATCACACCCCAAAATTATATTATTGAAAACAGATCTCGTCCACAGATCGGCTTAAGAAATTTTACAATATCAAATCAGTTTATAATAAAAAGTTTCACACACATTTTTGGATGTTGTTTTTCACTTCTGTAGTTAATGGGCTAAGTGGACATTTATTTACTCAGCTGAAGGAAACAAACTTAGTAAAACTTGTGAAAAATGTTTATTTATTGATTTGAGAGAGAGATCAATTTGTTACTCCACTGATGGAACATGTAACCTTGGCATATCTGGATGACTAACCAATTAAGCTACCAGGCATTTTTGTTAGTATATTGGCAACAAGAACTTTAACTATATTTATAATTCAAACCCCATAAATTCACATCTGGGAGTCTTCCTAAAGAAACTAGCCTAAATGCCCAAAATATGCCCCTTCACATCTCTTTGAACAAAGATATGCAGGATAGCATTATTTATAATAGTGAAAACTGCACACAACTTTAATATTCAACAGCAGGGAAATAAAGTAAATTGTAATTGCTAAAATTATGTCTTCCACTTTGTGTATGCATCCACTGTGGAATATATCATATGCTATATACAGTTATTTGGATGAGTTCTGCCCATCTAATCATTCTTTGTGTTCCCATTGTGCCAAGCACAGTGTAAATGTTTAATGAATGTTGAATATATGAATGTTGACACAAATGAAATTTTGTTTCAGTTGCTTGTTAATTGGTTAAAACTAAGAGATGTTCTTTTAAGTGCAGTAATTTTCAATAATCTGAAAATGTATTTCAAATGCAAACATCTTTTATTCCAGAAAATATTTTTGTAAGCAAAATAACAATTTCAAACATTTAAAGATAAATTTAAACGTGTGTGTATCAAATAGTAATTTTTATAAACAAATCACCTTAGTAGTAAATCATTCTGCATCTTCAAATTCCCTTTGTACACTTTTATTTATTCTCTTTGTACTTTTATGAATTTTATGTTTTTTATAAATGTAATTAAAAGATTCTACTTGCCGAAACCAGTTTGGCTCAGTGGATTGAGCATTGGCCTGCAGACTGAAGGGTGGTCCCGGATTCAATTCCCTTCAATGGCATGTACCTTGGTTGAGGGCCCATCCCCAGTAGGGGGTGTAGGAGGCAGCTGATTGATGTTTCTCTCCCATCAATGTTTCTAACTCTCTACCCCTCTTCCTTCTTCTCTGTAAAAAAATCAATAAAATATATTTTAAAAATAAAAATAAATAAATGAAAGTTTCCACTAACCTTCCTATTGGCATTTTTCTCCTCAAATTTATGATTTGTCCTCAGAATCAGTTTCTCTGACTACATTGTTTGTTTGAAATGATCAGTTGTAAAAGAAATTGCCTTTTACATAGTAATTGTGCCTTAGGCTATATTAAATGGAGAGAATTTAAATTTTTGCTTTCTGTAACTTTCAGAGAGTAGTAGCAAAGGGAAGAAATCGTTCTTTTCTTCAAAGTTATTTTTCTGGGTAAATCTTGATTCTGGTTGATGTAAGCAAGAAATGCCAATATTAAAAATTTGAAATTACTTATTTTTACATGTACTTGACCAGTAAATTAAGATATATTTGTCATCACTTTATAAATATAACATAGATGATGCCTACTTCTTTCAGTTTAAGATTATCACTATTTAAAATATTTATTCCTATAGAACCCTGAAATTTGATGATGATTTTGTGCCAAACTCATCAGGGCAGGGACCATATTTGTTTTGTTCACCCTGTGATAAAGATCTGATTAAGCTCTTTAAAAAAATCATTGAATTCCTGACTGCCTACTTTTGCCAACTTGTATGGGTGACTGCTTCCTGATTAAGTAAGGGAGTTAAGCCACTATTTTGTGTTTGGGTAGGCTGTAAGGAACAAAAAGACTCGGATGACTTTGTGCAGAGCTAAAGAAGGAGGGAGGAAGGGAGAGAAGAGAGCTATCTATGATTAGGCTCTAGTGAATCCATGGAAACTAATGGTTTTCCCCTTCGAAGCAGGCATGGTTGGTGCTTACTCTGGTGCCTCTTCATTATTCTCTCTTTGCTCCTGCTTCTGAGCACTATTTGTTCCTCTTCTCCATCAAGTTACATTGCTTTTGTACAGCTCCAGTGCTCTAGAGTGACTTCTAGTGTTCTGGAATCCTACTGCTCCAGCTAATTAACCTCAACTGTTTAGGCAGAACTCTTTCACCAAGGCACCTATGGCTGCAGGTCAGCTTCTATGTTTATTGATCTAATCCAGCGATTTTTCAACCGCTGTGCCGCAAGAATTCTTAAAACACATAATATCTGACTATTTCATCCAGGGCACTGACTTCTCTTCCCCTAGATTGTCAAGAAAAAAAATTACAACAGCCAACACAATAGCTATCCAATGTGAATGAATCAGTATACCTTTCTTTTGTTGTTAGATCGGCAAAATTCATTTTTTTTAGTATGCTGCAGAATTTTAATAATTAGTTTATGTGTGCCATGAGATAAAAAGCGTTGAAAATCACTGCTTAGTCAGCTGTGGCCATGCAAGAGAAATTGCCATCCTCAGATAAGAAATGTCACCTGGAGCTACCTCCTCCATTTAGACGCTTCCTGAGGAGGGCTTAGTGACACCTAAAGCTTAATCCACTCTCTTCCGGTTCCCATGCCCTGTAATTTCCCACTCAGTGTTTATAATCTTTATAAACCATGGCATAGTCCCTATTTTTATATTACGGTTTTGGAGGGCTTCTTTTTCAGTGCTTTAAAACATTATTTGTATTATAGAAAATTAAGTGGCCATTTCTCCAATCTCTTCTCTTGTCTAAGAACTTCAAAGCCAGAGAGCCTCTCTTGATTATTCCTGTTTTTTCCATATGCCTATGGAGAAGGAAGTTACTAACAGATAATCACACTTACATGGGAACACCAAGATATTTTTTAATTAAAAAAATTAACACAACAATTTGAAACATAAATAATCTAACAGATCAACATGTCATTGGCAAGCTACCAGTTGTTAATACTAAATAGAATAGCAAGTGTAACAATAAGCATTCTTGCATTCTCTTATTTCTTAGGTTAAATTAACTTCTACTTCTCTAAGTTTTACACTTTTCTTACTTAAACTTCAACTTTATCTTTGATACAATTATTTCTATTTTCTTTTTAAAAACCACACAGGTCAGGTCATTCATTGCTTTGGGGAGTTGCATGGAATTTAATTCTTTGAATTTAACCTTTCCTTTAGCTTTCAATTTGAGATACTTTTAGGTAGGTTTTTATTATGGAGTTTGATAGTTTTTAGTCGTGTCAACTACGGACTAAAAGTCTATAGCGCTGTAGAATGTGCCTGAGGAAGTGACACTTTGGAAGCCTACTGTGCGCAGCATTGATTAGAAGCTGGCCCCATTGTCTTATTCATCCAGTGGCCCTATGGGTTTTTGTTGACCTGAGACCTAACACTTTGATTTTACATAATTCTATTTTAGTACTTTAGCAATAAAATTTAACTTTTCTTAGAAAGTCATCATTAATACATAAAACTTTTCTTTTAAAAACAGGATAAAAGAATCAGAGTATCTCAGCCCTTGACAAGAGGACCAAGTGCCTTTATTCCAGAGAAGGAAGTAAGTTTGTCATAAAGTACATGAAAGTGTGATGAATAATAATTATATCAAAGAATATCTCCATGTTTAATATGGAAGTAAATGTGCTTTGCTCGTTTCTTATTTCTATGTCAGAATACTACAGAAATATTTTCTTTTCAAGTTCACTTAAAATATTGTGTGTAAAAATCTGCCCAAATTAGTAGTTATTATTAGTAAGATTAGAAACAAATTTTAACATGTTTGATTTCAAATACAACTTTTCTGAGCAAAGCTGCTAACAGTCATAAAATTGAATATTAATCTGAAGGTTTTAGGTTTTAAAATGGCCACTGTCATGTTGATTATAGTTTACACAAATGTTAAGAAAAGATATTTTGAAATGAAAAAGTAAATTTCCCAACTACACCTATTAAGTTTCCTTACTAAACCACTTATTAACCTGTTAACCGAGCGGGTCCTATAAATCCATCAAACGTAAACAATATCGGGAACGGGTAGGACATATGAATACATCCTTGAAATATATGTTGCTGAGAGGAACGGTATATATTTTTTGTAATCTTTTTTTAAAAAATATTTTATTGTTTTTTTTTACAGAGAGGAAGGAAGGGGGAGGGATAGAGAGTTAGAAACATCGATGAGATGAGAGAGAAACATGGATCAGCTGCCTTTTGCACACCCCCCACTGGGGATGTGCCGGCAACCAAGGTACATGCCCTTGACTGGAATCGAACCCAGGACCTTTAGATCCGAAGGTCGACGCTCTATCCACTGAGCCAAACCGGTTTTGGCTATTTTTTGTAATCTTTATAATTGTTTGTAAAAATTTATAATTTTTTAATTTGGTGTTTCCATTTTTTTTGTTGGTATTCTTTTCTATTTGTTTGTGATTTTGTATTTTCCTTTGTGTTTTATATATATAAATAAATGAAAAATACACATATATATTATTCATTTTAATTAAGTATAAATAAATAAAAATAATAATAATATGAAATTACGTCCTCCGGGAGTGACGTACTGACACATCCTAGTGAAAGAGTACGCGCCTGTTACAGATTGCGTCATTAAAAAGGGAACTCCCCGGTTAACAGGTTAAACAAAACATGATATTACATCACTGGTACTTATTCTTTTCATTTGTTTCTAAGTCTTGATTGTACAAAATGCTAGAGTTCCTGATAAAATCTATACCTTTGGTGAAGGTGGGGAGTCAAGTGGCAGATGCAAGAAGGAAAGATTGTAAAAGGACACAAAGGAGATTAAAATCAGGACAGGATTTGTGCCTGTTATGTGGGTATGCATCTCTATGAGGATCACAGCAATGTGTAGGACCTTCTAGATTCCTAGATGTCTCTCAGATACATGTGGGCTAAGAAACGTTTGGGAACCACTAATTAAGGAATTTTTCTCTGCTTCAAGGGGTTATTAACTCATACTGAATATGGTTATATATACTGATTCACTATGTATTGCAAAGATAGCGTTTTTCTCAAAGCACCAACATAATTCCCACATTGTTCTGAAATTAGTCAACAAATATTTATAGAGCATCTATTTTGTGCCAGGCATTGTCTTAAGGGATGAGTGGAATTCAAATAAGACATCCTAGGTCATTGCCAAAGTCAGCAATTCCTTTACCTTCATTTCACCTTTTTAGTGACCTTGCCATTTAAATGAAAGATAACAGTAATGTTTTAGGAGCTCAGTGACTATAGCTGACCTAGGTGGTGGCCATGCATTAGAGAAACTGCTGTGCTAGCACCTAGTTCCCTCATAGAGCATAGGTGTTACATATAAAGACTTCCCAAAAGAATCACTTTCACAGTATGTATTTGAAGATAATCTGATCTGCAAAAGCCATCACTGTTTTCAGGATCTATTGCATCATATGAATCATTTGTTAATGTATGTTAGACATCACCTAACAGAAGAAACTTCTGCTGGGGAAAACAGAATAAAAATAACAAATACTAGTATACTATCCCTAATTATATGTAATTTATCAGGATCCTATTATTTTTAATAATCACTTGGTCCCTATAATTAACAAAATGGGGGAAACGGGTAAATGAACATATATTTTGGATTTCTAGTGAGCCAAAGTGAAATTGCTTTTTTTTACACCATTGTAAGTAGCATTTCCTTGCAATTTACACTTTTCAAACATATTTTCTTTGGGATTAAATTTTGCTGTCAGTGGTGCCTTTATATAACTTCCTTTAAGAAGAGACTGTGGAGCCAGCCCTGTAAGTTAACAGGATTTCTTACGAGCAGTGTGGGTCTTTGGAAAGACAGTTTGGCCGTTAGGAAATCTGTTTCTAGATCAGGCTCTGCTAATAATGAGGTGCGTGAGCTTGAATTTAATATTGAATTTAATACAAGGAATACATTCTTCTGAAATCTAGAACTCTAATCTAAAATCAATAAGTAATGAACCAATACTAGAAATAGCATTTCATGCCTATTCATTCCCACAGAGCTGGGGCCTTCTACAAGGTGCTAATAAGCTCTTTACACCTGCCAAGCCAGTTCTTGGTGTGATGCCCAACCTGTCATTGTGTATAAAACTATAGTACAAATAACCTATTTTTGAGTAAGCTCTATTAATTCCCTATGATGGAGGATGTCCATTTTAATAACTTACCTTGATTTTATAATTAACATGATAGACTCAAAATAGGAAAGACAGTATTATCATGTAATTAATTTTTCAATTAACACTTCCCTACAAATTATCATATTTTCCTTAAAAAGACTTCAGAAGGCCCGTTTTTAATTTTGAAAAACAAAAACAAGCAAAGGATCAGATGGAAAATACTTGTTTAAAGATAATGTGATTAAATAACTTCATAGGCTATTGACATAAAATTATGTATATAATCAAATGCCACTATTTTTCCTCACCACAAATTGGTGTGACAATGGCCACATATGTGGGCTCTGAAATATTTGCCTTATGTTCCTGGCAAAGCAGATGGAAGCTTCTTTTCTCCGATTTCATAGCTGTGTGTGTAATGTTTGATAATTTGACATTTGTTGTTTAATAAATGGTGGCACCAGAGCCAAAAATGAGTGGTGCTTTCTTTTTACTTCTGTTTCCCATATGAGCAACTGTGTAATTCCAGCATCTGTTAATATCAAAAGAACATTCATTTGCTTCAGTAGTGGCATAATTTATGTAAACCAAGGATGTGTTTACTTCTCAATAATTATCTTGTGTTGGGTTTCTTGGTTGTAAGGTTGCTCAAGCAAACACATCGGATGAACGTACTAACTTTCTTGTGGAAGAATACTCTACATCCGGTCGCCTGGACAACATCACCCAGGTCATGAGTCTGCACACCCAGTACCTGGAGTCTTTCCTGCGGAGCCAGTTCTACATGCTGCGCATGGACGGCCCCCTTCCTCTCCCACACAGGCACTACATCGCAATAATGGTGACTGCGCTCACTCTTCCTTCTTCCCTTAGCATTAGGAGTGTGAGTGTGTGGAACTAAGTATAATTTTAAGGACATAAGAATTCAAGAAGGCTGCGGCCTCTTGGATACCAGGCCCCTTGGGTATATTCTGAATGCTTTAAACCACTTAATGTACTGCAATTTTCTCATTTAATTTTCACTAAAATCACCTTCCATACTTACTCTCTTATGATTAAAGATGCTTGTAGGGGCCAAAGTAATATCCCACACGTTTTGTTTTTGCTCTTGATGTCTTGTTTTTATTGTTAGAATAAAACCAGTTTGTGACATTTTATTTAGTCATTTTTTTTTTTTTTTTTTTTTTTTTAAATATATTTTATTGATTTTTGTACAGAGAGGAAGGGAGAGAGATAGAGAGTTAGAAACATCGATGAGAAAGAGTCATCGATCAGCTGCCTCTTGCACACCCCCTACTGGGGATATGCCCGCAACCAAGGTACATGCCCTTGACCGGAATTGAACCCAGGACCCTTCAGTCCCCAAGCCAACGCTCTATCCATTGAGCCAAACCGGTTTTGGCTATTTAGTCATTTTATACATGAAAATAATTACTATTTTGGCTAAGAGGAAAGTAGCAGTCTGCACCAATGGAGGTACTCTGAAGAACAGAAGAATTCTTAAGTGAATGATAGTACTTTTAAGTATAGTGCTTGGCCTTTAGTTAACTAGTTAATGTTTGTAGGAGAGAATTATAAATTGGGGTATTAGGCAGCAGGAATGAGAAGGGTAGAAGGAAGCAGCATTATAGTTGAACTATTACCAGAGAAAAAGAGGAATGAGTGTGATGCAAGTGCTTTATATTTGGAGATTTAGACCAGCTGGGCTGACAGAGCTAGCAGAGATAGCCAGAGGTTAGCAGATTGGTCTTACCAGGTTTACTTGGATTATCTTGTTTATGTTCTCACTGTAGTTTTAAACAAACAGAAAATGTAGCATTCTGTGTTTTATTGAATGATGAACTTGACTAATAATGTAATTTTAGCTTAAGGTTTTGATGACAGTAAGGCTGAAAACAGACCTAGAATGGTCATAAACTAAGAAAGAAATAAGATATAGAAAACAGAAAGAATAGAACAACACAGTTTTGCTGAGGAGCCCTGAGGAAAGGAGCTGTGCAGTTTGCTGTATGTGGATTTATCTAGTTTTCAGCATCACGGCTGATTTTGGCTGCAGAGGAAGGAAAGGGTCAGTGATCTTCAGTTTTTTCTCAGTGGTGTGCACAGATAAGACTGATGTCCCAGTTATACCAAAGGCAATAAGAGAATTACCCAAATTAGAATACATTCTGAATTGGTAGAATACAAGTTAATGAGATTTTATTGTTTTAAATACACTACAGTTGATATAATTTACCAAAATGAAACAAACACGTACTTTCTTCACAAAACAAGAAAGTAGCTTTTAAGTTGACTGGCACCAATTTCTAGATGAGGAAGTAATTGGCTTTGTGTGACAATTCATGGGCTTATACTAGTACAAGTGTCAGCTTCCTGTATTGATTCAAGAATCTATGGCATCATTCTGATGCAAGTTTTAGAAGGATGAATATTCTGTAAGACAAGAATTACTGGCTACAAAAATTATTAATTCCACCTATATTTTTGTTTAGAAATAGTAGAATAAGACTTTACAATGATGTTTTATTAACTGACTCTTTGTATTTTAGGCTGCAGCTAGACATCAGTGTTCTTACCTAATAAACATGCATGTGGATGAATTTCTAAAAACAGGAGGTATTGCTGAGTGGTTGAATGGTTTGAAATATGTACCACAAAGACTGAAAAACCTTAATGAAATAAATAAGCTGCTAGCACACCGACCCTGGCTGATCACAAAAGAGCACATTCAGGTACGGGGGATGTTTCTTTGAAATAAAAAAGATATTTACTAATGATTCCAACTGAGTAGTTTTCTAGTTAAGTATTTTGCTTAAGACTCAATTTTTAAAACTTGCGTATATTAGGAACTTGAAAAATAAAATAGAATATTAATATATGTAGAAAAATAAATTTAGGAAGTCAGTGGGTTTACTCTAAGTATGAATGAATGCTTCTCTTTGAGTAATCAATCATTAGCTTGCACAAGTGCTTTGAGTGGCTATGAGAAAAGCAGTGGGGGTAGAAAAAAGAAAATACACAAACATGATAGGGTACCTGGGGTCTAGTCTCTCCTCTGCTACTCACAAGGTTGTGACCTTCAGTAAATTAACTTATTTGGGCCCCAGTAGTTTCCCTGCTATAAAATAAGGGGCCTAGATTACATGATTTCTAAGCCCTTTTCCAATTCTAACATTTAATCATTTTAAGATTTTCACAGAATGGTTTTACAGATAAGAAATGATTTGCCACCTGGTGTGTGTGAATGTTTAAATGCCTGTGATGGTATTTAGAGTTGTGATGGACTAAAGCACTTGCACTTCAAAAGGACCTTTCATCAAAGGCCAGCAGGGTGAAGTGGTTATAGAATATTTTTAACACTGTGAGGGGCACTTAGTAACTACTAATAAATCGAGCGATCATCTAAATTATTATCGATACAAGTCTAAGGCATTTAAAATCTCTGCTTCTAATGCATTGAGATGTCCTTTTGAAAAAATATTACTAGATTACATTTTTGTTAGTTACTTGTTAGTTACACTCACTTAATTTTTGTCAATCTGTATACGCTCCGATTTCAATTACCTGTTTGGAAATCTCTGAAGAACAATGTTGTCCTGATGCTTATGTTCTGGCTTTGCAATATGATCGTTAGATAAAGGAGTCACTCATTATTTTTATGTCACAGGTTAATTATTTTGTGTCAGAAACTCTGGTGGGTCTAAAAGGATGGACACTGCCTTAGGGCCTGCTTGGAATCTAGAGGAAGAGAGACAGTGATCACAGTGTAATAGTGTATGAATGTGTGAGTAAAGAGAATTGATCCCAAGGTTTCACGAAAGAGGTTACATCTGAGTTATGGGTTGAAGAATTAGTGGGAGTTTTGGAGTAGAGGAGGATATTCCAGACTGAGAGCAGAGTATGGAATATTACGATATGCTGGAAAAGTACATAGCAACTTTAGTTACTTAAGTAGAGAGGTAGTTATGAAGAAAATATAAATTCTAATATAATAGAATAAGAACTAAAAAGAAATAGAAAAGAGCTTCAGGAGTTTGTTTGAAAAAAGAAATCAGATTATAATAAATTTTTAAAAAGTGAATATGAGGTGAGAAATTTGAAAGACAATTATTGGCTATCATTTTAGGTTTACTGATAAACTTGCTAAAACTGACAAAAGCATTGTAAATTTTATCAATCCTTTTAGAAAGCTTTTTGGCAGTATTATCAAAAGTCATAAAACTATTAATACCCTTTGCCCTAAAATTCCTTCCAGGAATTGTTTCTAAAATAATAACCAAGCTATAGCATGAAGCTATAGTAGCAAATAACAATAATTTAGAAGCAATGTGTGTGTCTGATAGTAGGACATGGAGAAGTGGTTCTGTACACTCACTCCTAGACAGTGTAGCCAAGGCTTCAACGTTAATATAAAACTATCGCCTTTGAGAAATGAACGTGTCAAAATGTGAAATGTGAAAAGCAGAAAAAAAGAGATGTATACTCTGATTATATAATCATGCCTATTAAAATAAAAGATGTGTAAAAGTTATATTAAGGGGGTAGAATATAATTGATTTTTTTTTTCTTTTCTTTTCCCTGAGCTTTTGTTTTGGTAATAAATTATGGGTGAGAGTGTGTGTGTGTGTCTGTGTGTGTGTGTGTGTGTGTGTGTGTGTGTGTGTGCGCATTTAAATAATGGAAAGTAAAACAAAAGCAGTGTTTTGGTTTTAGTTTTTAGCCATGAAATTAGCCAAATTAAAGAACAAAATAAACTGATAAGCAAAATAAATCTGAGACATAGAAGCATGAAAAAGACAGACTGGCGAATCTCAGAAGAAAGGTGGGGTGGTTGGGAAGAGATTAACCAAAGAATTTATATGACTACTAGAGGCCCAATGCATGAATTCATGCACAGAGGGGTCCCTCGGGGTGGCCTGTGGAGATTGGGCCCCAGCCTTGCAGTTCCGCCAGGTACCCCCACCTTGGCCTGGTACAGCCCCCTTACTTGCTCCACCATCCCCATTTGTAGGGTGACTGGTCAGGGCCAGACCCCCCACTCAACTCCCTCAGTGCCTGGGAGCCTGGCAGCGGCCCCACTGCCACTGCTAGTTGCTGGGCAGGGTGATCGGGCCTCCAATTGCACTCACCTTGACCTGGTACCACCTACTCACCTCCTCCACCATCTCATCATGGTCCTGCTCTCATTGGGGCCCATCCTGGCTGGCAGCACCAACACTGCCACCTGCTGCCAGCACTGTGTCACCGAGGCTCACCATGTTCTGTGCCACCCCCTGGTGGTCAGTGCACATCATAGCGAGCAGTCAGATGACTATCTGAGGGGACAATTTGCATATTAGGCTTTTATTATATATTAATAGGATGTGCATAACTTATAGACTCAGACAATAGTGTGGTGAAGGCCTGGGTGGGGGCAGGTGCTGGATAAAACAGTCAATGGGGTAAAAGGGGGAGCATCTGTGATACTTTCAACAATATTTTAGATTTGGAGGGAGCTGTAGTACATACACACATAGACACACACACACACACACACACACACACACACACACACACGGATAGAAGAGAAAGCAAACACTGATGAGAACAAATCCCTGATGGGTTAATGGATGGACTTGGTTCTTGGGAGAAGAAGGGATGAAGGGATTAAGAATGTTGATTTATTAATTTGATTTTTATATGATTCTTAAAGGTAGAGTCTCTACCTTAAAAAGTTTAAATGAATGGTTGTGCTAGATTATTTTAGTAAGATATTTCAAAGAATTCAAGACCTTCACATTGACATACAGTTACATGGAAAAGTGCTTTGGAAGCACTTTTATATATAACTAGAGGCCCGATTCATGAGATTCATGCAATAAGGGTGAGAGGTTCCCTCAGTCTGGCCTGCATCATCTCAGTCCAGGAGCCCTTGGGGGATGTTTGACTGACAGCTTAGGCCACTCCCTGCTCTCCTTAGTGCTGCCGAGGAGGTAGGCGAGGCTCCTGTCACTGCTGTGTAAGCCTGGCTTCTAGGCTTTTGACTGAGCAGCGCTCCCACACCAGGAGGCAGCTCCTGCATTGAGGCCTGCCCCCTGGTGGTCAATGTGCATCATCACGACCATTTGTTCTGCCTTTCGGTCACTTTGCATATTAGCCTTTTATTATATAGTAATGTCCCAAAAATGTTTACATACACTTAGAATAATTATAAAGGCAACGTTTATTAAAATACATTTCATTTTTATATAACAGTTATCAGCTGTTAAAGTGCATATAATTTCAGGGGAAACTGCATATATGAATTCATCCTATATAATAAAAAGCTAATATGCAAATTGAACGGTAGAATGACTGGTCACTATGATATGCACTGACTACCAAGGGGCAGACATTCAATGCAGGACCTGCCCCCTGGTGGGCTCATGGCTGGCGAGCACAGCAGCGATGGCGGGAGCCTCTCCCACCTCTGCGGCAGCGCTAAGGATGCTCAAATGCTAGCTTAGGGGGAGCAGGCCTAAGCTATCAGTTGGACATCCCCTGAAAGCTCCTGGACTGCAAGAGGGAACAGCCTGGTTTGACGGACCCCTCACTCCCCCTGAGTGCATGAATTTAGGGCCTCTAATATATATATATGAATAAAATAAAAGCTTAACATGCTAAGTGTTCGGTTGTCTAGTCGTCCATTCAACCAATCAAATTGTACTATGCTAATGATATAAGGCTGCTCAACCGCTTGTTATGACATGCACTGACCACCAGAGGGCAGACGCTCCAACTGGTAGGTTAGCTTGGTGCTGGGATCCAGCCAGTGGGGACTGAGCAAGATGAGCTGGACACACCCTGGAGCCCTCCCTTGACCCTTCCCTGGTTGTCCAACCTCCCACATCTCTCCCAGGCCCCGGTGGGGTCTCTTAGCCTGGCCTGTACCTTCCCCCAGTTGGCTGAAGGACCTGCACCCCCCTGCCTTGAATGCATGAATTTCATGTACTGGGCCTCTAGTATATACATATGGATTTAGGCGAAGCCACAACAAAAATCATATTGTTAGGTTAGATAGTTTTAATGTAATGGTATTTGATTACAGCCACATTTTGAATATAGGAAACATTTTTAAAAGAGAATTTTAAGTTTTATTCATATAAATGAACATATATGAAATTTAATAGGGTTTTTTTATGCTTTCTATTGCTTTATAGCATTCTGTGATTTTTATTTTTACTCTGATTTGCTTTCTCATTTTAGAAACTTGTCAAAACTGGAGAAAATAATTGGTCTCTGCCCGAACTGGTACATGCTGTGGTCCTACTGACACATTATCATGCTTTGGCAAGCTTTGTTTTTGGTAGTGGCATTAATCCGGAGAGAGATCCAGAAATCTCCAATGGATTCAGGCTAATATCAGTCAACAATTTCTGTGTTTGTGACCTCGCTAATGACAACAACATAGAGAATGCATCCCTCACAGGCAACAACTTCGGGGTCAGTTTTCTCCTCTCCTTATTGTTTTGCCTTTATAATTTCTAACATTAAAAATATCTAGAGGGTCCAGCTGGTGTTGCTTAGTGGTTGAGTGTCGATCCATGAACTAAGAGGCCCACTAGTTCAGTTCTTAGTCAGAACACATGCCTGGGTTGTTGGGCTTGATTCCCAATAGGTGGCATACAGGAGGCAGCCAGTCAATGCTGTTTCTCTCTCATCGATGTTTCTAACTCTATCCCTATCTCTTACTTTCTCTCTAAAAATCAATAAAAACATTAAAAAAATATCTACAGAGAATTTATTCTCTGATTAAAAAGGATATATATGCGTGCATTTATATATATATATATATATGTTATATATATGTTAGCATAATTTTTACTATAAAAATGTAACCTGTACCTGAAATTCTGAATTTTCTTAAAGAGGCTTTTACTGCAGATAGATATCATTACAAATCATAAAGACTAAAACAAGGCTGCATTCCAGTGATCCTAGGCTTTTAATGTTAGACTCTTTGAACAGCAGATCCTAGAACAGTTTATCTCTCGTCCATAGATGCTGGACTAACCAATAGCAAATATGTCTTATGACAGAAAAATTAAAGAATTTGAAGCTGCCTTACTTTAAAAAATAAACCATAATATGATTTAATATATGCCAAATGCTAGAATTCTAGATCGAATGTATCTATAAACTTTCTAAATTTATAACTGATGTAAAAACATCCTACTTCTGAAAATGTTTAAAGCTATGATATGATTTTCTTTGGAGTTGGTGAAAAACCCACTTAGGAACTTAATAATAGTACTGATACCTCTGTACATATCAAGGTGACCGTGGGAGGTGGAGATGTTTACTGGACCAATTTCTCCTATTAATAACACCATCATCCTTCCTGGCTTCAGATTGTAGGTTCCCTAAGTGAGCTGGAGGCCTTAATGGAAAGAATGAAAATGCTTCAAGAAGAAAGGGAAGATGGAGACACATCTCAGGAAGAAATGACCACTCGTTTTGAGAAGGAGACGAAAGAAAGTCTTTTCGTTGTCTCTGGAGATACTTTTCATTCATTTCCTCATTCAGGTGCTTTTTTTTTTTCACTATCTTTTGGTTGTTCTTGGAATCCTGACAGACCACCTTCAGTGTTTTCCATGTGGATTTGTAAAAATAATTGTGCTACATGTTCCTTTTATTTCTTTCTCATCCTCTGCATTATAGATGGTATATCTGACACTACTTGCTTCCTCTGTTATGTTGGTGCATCTTTGAATATATTTCAGATCCAGTTGGGAGGAATACTCCAAACATACTCTATTCTACATAAAATGTAATTCAAAGCAGATCAGGTGCTTATAAAATTAGATAGCAATATTTAATTCATCCTACTTTTGTGATGATTTTTTTTTTCCTGACCGGTGAAATCCTGTTTCAATAGATATAATTTTTAAAAAATATCACTGCCTTTTTTGTGGGTGGAGTGTGTAGGAGGACTATTCTCACACTGCTGCTTTTCCAGGTTAGTTTAAAATTACATTTCACTTGCATTTGCATTTCTTTGGAGAAATCTTTGGAATTTGTAAAAATGTATTATTTGGGTTGAATTTGGAGGAATTTATTCCACACTTAAAGCTAGGCTTCTTTGCTATAGTCTTAAAAACACATTTTTATTTAATACTCAGACTTTGAAGAAGGAGGTAAACTTTTCAATTATGACTAAAAAATATATTAAACACCATGTAGTAAATGTTATTAAAATAGCAGACTCAGTAGAAAGATTGAATCCTTCAAAGTCATCCATCTACATAACATTTATTTTTAAATGGAGTTCCATTTGGTTTAAAAGGGGGCTTTAAAATAACTAGTAAGTCTCACAAGTTCTGAGAGTAATTGATTTGCACATATCTGTTAACTTTAAACATAGCATCAACCAATTGCTCTCAGAAATTTTACCAGGAAAAGTAGGAATTCTTTTTATCATTTCTCATGATGATCTTTTTTTTTTAATGAAGATTTTATCTTCAAAATTGAGTATATTAAGTACTAGTTTCTCAGAGCTTCTAATCAGTATGAAATCCCCCTCAAAAAGGAAACTTGGTGTTTTAGTTATTTGTTTAATATTTATTCTATAAATATTTATTGAGTACCCCACATACTCTCAGCACTGTGGCAAATAGATTTTCAGCCTACATGAGGCACAGTTCCTGCTTTCAGGGGACTGTCATTGCTGGTGGGAAAGATAAATAATTATAACACATAGTGGGATGTGGAAGGTTTGTGAGGCCAGAAGAGGACCCCGAACCCAGTCTTCATGGGGGAGGGATGCCCAGAAGATGACTTTCTCCAGCCTTTTGGCTGTAAGCTGAGTGCAGGGATGTCAGGCAATGGCTAGGGGATAGGGGAGTTGGTGTAAACAGCATCCACACCTGAGCCAAGGCACGGTGGTAATGAAAGAGGATGCTTGCTTCAGGAACAAATGGCCGTGTCGTTAGGACATAAATCATGAAATAGCTAATGGGACAAGGAGGTGGGTAGGTGGACAGGGGCCTTATTATAGTGATTGATCTTTCTAAACTTAAGGAACAGATAAGCTGCCTTAGTTTGGACATGTGGAGTTCCTTTACAACATGCAGGCCGGGGATGTCTGCACAGATCTTCTCAAACTTTACTGTGCATGGGAGTCACTGGGGAATCTGGCTGGAGTGCAGTCTGTCTGGGCTAGGATGGGATAGGCCACACTTTTTGTCACGGCTCCAAGTGGGACTAATTAATGCTAGTCCAAAAACACACTCGGAGTAGTTAGGGTGACAATCAGAGGGCTTTTAACTCAAGATAAAGTTTTAGAAGTTTTCAGTATATATTTGGTGTTAAAATCAAAACAACCTATAATAATAAAAGGGTAATATGCTAACATAAAAAAATGTCCTCTGGACAAAGCCAAAGTCGGAAGGAAGCAGCCAGGATCCCGGGTGCCAGAGGAAAGCCAGTGCCAGCAGCCAGGGGAAGGAAGGCCTACTCTTGCACCAATTTTCATGCATCGGGCCTCTAGTTGATTATAAAAATCATGTCTCATTTGTCCAGGTAGAACAAATGAGACAATGAAAAATAATGAGCATAGGGCCCTGGCTGGATGGCTCAGATGGTTGGAACATAGTCTCATACACCAAAAGGTGGCGAGTCAACCGGTCGATGTCTCTCTCTCCCTCTCCCTCTGCCTCTCCTTCTCCCTTCCTCCCTCCCTTTCTGTCTGTCTCTCAAGTCAATACAAAAATAAATATTGTAATAGTAATAATGAGCCTAGAGTTAACCTTCTAGGTAAGCCAATATTCTAAAATATAAACATTTTATTAAAGTTACTAATATCTATTTGCTTTTAGACATTACTTTTTAAGAGCTTCTCTAAGATCACTAGAGTTTAAAAGATAGGTTTTTGTTTATATGTTTTTACTACTGAAAATCTTTCCTGGATCTCAGTTTCAATCTTCCTGGTCCCTTGAGCAGGACTCTGCCTTCTAAAATGAATTTTTGACTAGCAAGTCTTAGACCCTCGCTAAAAATTATGTTCTAATTTTAATAGTAGAGGCTGTATCATTTGTAAATAACTCAAGGAAATAAATCATTTCATTGTTTACTCTTAAACATTCCCAGTACTAAATTTACTGGTCACACAAAGATAAATTAGAAAAATAACTTCATACACTGGCTAATTGAGTCATTTTTATAAACTTAACAAAGTTTTAAAATAGAAATTTATTTTTTCCTATGCAAAATTTCTTGGTTTTAATTTTTTTTAAATGATTATCCAGTTATAGGTATGGTTAGTCTTTTTTTTTTTAATATATTTTATTGATTTTTTTACAGAGAGGAAGGGAGAGAGATAGAGACCTAGAAACATCAATAAAAGAGAAACATCGACCAGCTACCTCTTGCACACCCCCTACCAGGGTATGCCCGCAACTAATGTACATGCCCTTGATCAGAATCGAACCTGGGACCTTTCAGTCTGCAGACCAACGCTCTACTGCTGAGCCACACCAGCTTTGGCAATTTCTTGGTTTTAAAAAAAGTTAAAAAGTAAACAGCTTCTTGGTTTAACCAGTGTGATAAAGCATTCCAGATTCTATGGGGAGATTCTAACAATAGTTTTTCAAGTCTTTTGAAGAAAATAAATATTTAGAGTGTTATATGAGGGTGATATTTTGTAGCTTGGTAGCAGAGTTAACTAGCTTTTATTGTGTTGTGTGTGGGTTTTTTTTTTCAAGTTAGAAAGGTGTTTCGTTACTATAACATAATGTTTTCTATATTTTATTAATGGCTACGTCTTAGGGGCAGAAGAGTGCAGACGAAGTACAAAATACTATTTCAGTCCAGACTTTGAAATATTTATTTAGGTAGAATTAAAGTGAGAGCTTTAGATTTGTTAATCACAATATTAATTTTAATTTTTTTTAAACTTTAACATCTTAAGATAAATTTAGGAAAAAGATATGTGTGGTTTGAGAGATCTTTGTATATATTTTTTCTGTAGACAAAATTGTCTAGAAAACAGGTCTCAATTGACTCCTAATTTAAAAATGAATGAATGGATAGTATTCATAGGATACATTTTTATGTTATTTGGTTAGTTACTCTTTATTGTTTAAAGATATTTAAAAGTCATATAACAATCCCAAAATGTATATAAGCAAAACAAAAACTAACATTAAAGTCAAAGGAACTAGTTAAGTAATAGTCAACTCCAGTATTGGTTTTTGGCAAATGAAACCACCAGGCTGTACAGTGGGCGGCTCACTGTACTTGGTTTAATTTTACTTTGCACTTCAAAAAACTCCTCGCTTTCATTGTGGCCTCAACAGTTGCTTTTTTTTTTTCTGCTTTATTTTGTTGATTATTATGGAACGTACAAGTTTAATTAACCTCATTGGTAAATGTTAAGAGATAATGCATTGAAAACGCCATTTATAAAGCATTTCTATTTACCCAGAATAGAGAACTGGAGCATAAGGAGGAGGTAACAGAGTGGTTGAGGAGTGGGCCAGCGGAGCCTGAGATTTCTCTTTAGAGCTGAAAGTCACTTTGAAGCTTCAGGCCAATTTCAGTGATTTAATGTTTACAAGCTTTCCACGTCATCTTAAAGTAGTCCACATTGTATTTCTGACACTCAGTACCAACAATAGTATCTGTAATTTTTTACTGTTAATGAAACAAAGAAAAAAATAAACAGGTGCATAACATAGTACTTGATATAGAGTAAGTACTCAATAATGACAGTCTATTGTAATAAAGGAGTTAGGTAAGAATTTCATACACTATTTCCTGGGTTGGGTAGTCTGGGCATTTGATCTTTCCTGCCTTATTATCAAGCACTCCAATTAGTCCCTGCTAATGACCCAAGGAAGGTCAAAACTGGTTGGAAAAGAATACTTATTGTGAGGCTTTTCATGAAATGAATTAACTATAATTGCACTTGTTTTTTAAGCCTGTCAACACTGTCATTAAGAGTTATTGTTTTTTGTTATGCCGTAAAATTGTTTTAACTATTTAATATATATTTATTTATTAAATCTTTAATGTATTTTTAATATTAAAATACTGATAGAATATTCTGTGTGTGAAAAGAGCTAGTTTTTTTCATTTATTTTAAAATATATATGTTTATTTTTTTTATAACAGAAGGTAGTAAAGGTTCATTTCCTTTTAGTGGTTGAAATCAGGGAAAAGTATAAAGATTAACCTAAAAAAATTGAGTTAAAAGATAATTATCTTTAAATTAAATTAACATGCATTGGGTTTTTACAGAATTTTTAATATTATCAAGAATACAAAAATTAGCCGAAGCCGGTTTGGCTCAGTGGTAGAGCATCGGTCTGGGGACTGAAAGGTCCCAGTTTCGATTCTGGTCAAGGGCATGTACATTGGTTGCGGGCACATCCCCGGTAGGGGGTGTGCAAGAGGCAGCTGGTCGATGTTTCTCTCTCATCGACATTTCTAGCTCTCTATATCTCTCCCTTCCTCTCTGTAAAAAATCAATAAAATATATTTTTAAAAAAAGAATGCAAAAATTAGCTATCTTACGATGATATTGTAGTCTTTCTATCTTAATGCCACTTTGATAGTATTCCATTCACAATCTCATTAGTAGACAATATACTCCATATATTGTATACCTTTTCTTTTCATGTGCATACATATCTTAGGTGTAGAACTCAATGAATTTTCATTGTAGTTGTATAAAAGCCCTCTCTTGATCGTCACACTAACTACTGTTTAGTAGTTAGTGTTTGCGGACTAGTATTAGTCCCACTTGGAGTCTGACAGAAAGTGTGGCCTATCCCGTGAAAAAAAAAAAAAGCACACATATCTTAGGTGCAAAACTCAATGAATTTTCCCAAACAGAAACCTCCTCTTTAACTGATAATATTAGTAAATCAACTAATAATAGTGACTCCTGAAAGCCCACTGTCCTCTCTGTTGTGTTCCCTTCCTTCTCCTTATATGCCTCCTGGTCAACGAAAAATGAACTCATTTTCCCTGTGAACCCAGGTGAAACACCATCTATCTAATTTTAACAAAATCTGTCTTAACATTCAGCTCACTTAAAGTGCTCTTTACCTTGACTTCTCTTTCCCCAAATCCCACTTCATCCCCAGAGAGATCAAAAGTTTAAACATTTTAACCAGAGGCCTGGCTATCTTCCTTGTCTAAATGTGCTACTACTACTTAGGTATTTTAATTTCATCAATTTTTTGACTAAGTAACTATAGTTAAATGTTGAAATGGCCAGGATTTGGTAATGAAATTGTATTCAAAACTTAAGTAGTAGATATTTTATTGGAATTTAAGCCAGGTAGTCAATATTGTCACTGGAAATCTATGGAAAAGCTAAAAAAAAGTGGAGGAAAATGGAGGGGTTTCATTGTTCTAACTATGTAGTTTCCCTAACACTAACTAGATTGTTGCTGCTCTTAGATTTTGAGGATGACATGATTATAACATCTGATGTCTCCCGATACATTGAAGACCCTGGTTTTGGGTATGAAGACTTTGCTAGACGAGGAGAAGAGCATTTGCCAACATTCCGAGCTCAGGTATGAGATGTCTGTATTTCAGAGAAACTAAAAAGTAAATACTGTTATTTTAACTGTGACATGTTTAAGTGTAAATAGACTTCTAAAGAAATTAGGTCATTTTGATAGTCTGTAAATCACTTTATTTGTTTTCAGCCTATTGTTTAATTTGATGTCTTTTTTTTTTAATATATTTTATTGATTTTTTACAGAGGAAGGGAGAGAGATAGAGAGCTAGAATCGTCGATGAGAGAGAAACATCGACCAGCTGCCTCTTGCACACTCCAACCGGGGATGTGCCCGCAAAACCAAGGTACACGCCCTTGACCGGAATCAAACCCAGGACCTTTCAGTCCCCAGACCGACGCTCTACCACTGAGCCAAACCGGTTTCAGCTAATTTGATGTCTTAATAGGTAGATTATTATTTCAACATTTTCCCCACTCAGAAGGCAAAAGGAAAAGGCTTCCTTAAGTTACAGCATTATTACATTGTAGTTGTATAATATTCATACCATTTTGGGAGGAGGAACATACCAGAGAAAAAAACCCAGTGATGTATCACATCACATTTATAATAAAAAGACACTTTATTATACAATCCTATATCAGTAGCTAATGGCTTCAGAGTTATTCCCTCCCCACCCCTAGAAAAACAGTTACAATAACGATGTGACCCCTAAAGAGGGTGCAAATTTGGATGAAGACAAGCTCCATGAACAGGTTTGGTCACATAATAGTCCAAGATCTTCTGGGGTTCTTCCAGATAAGGGCGTCGTTTGCATAGCACTTGAGCACAAGAAGTAGCCAGTTTATCACCGACACGTTAACCCCTGAATCCCACTGAGGAAATAGCACGGCACTCCAATCTACAAACTGATGTGAAGGCTTTTTAGCAAAGCTACAAATTTAAAAATAAATTTGAAATATTGTCACTTTCTTGCTTAAGTAGTTATAGTTAATAAAAAATTAGAGTTGACTTAAGTGAAGAATGCCCATTTTGTAAGGGTGTACATTTTACTCTTCTAGGACTATACCTGGGAAAACCATGGGTTCTCCCTGGTGAACAGACTTTATTCTGACATTGGACATCTTCTTGATGAAAAATTTCGCATGGTCTACAGTCTCACCTATAACACTATGGCCACCCACGAAGATGTCGACACAACCATGCTACGCAGAGCTTTGTTTAACTATGTCCACTGTATGTTTGGAATCAGGTATGCTCATTGTGGAGACCGGTTTACACGTTTCTAAAAGAAAATTCTGACACTAGCCTTACTCCTGTCCTGTTTAGGAGTATGTATTTTGGGGAGAAAATACTACATGTGGACTTCCGATTTTGGAAAATTAATTCCATTTTATAGAAAAGAATTTCTCTATGGTTAACTGTAGTGAATATTAATATGCATATGTAAATACAGTACTAACAATTTACTGATGAGGGGAAAAATATCAGGAATCATTGGAGACAGGAAAAATCAGACTCAGTTTGAGAATCTTTCCAGGAAGAAATAGCAGTTAAAAACCATATATTGTATTCCTTTAGATCACTTTAATAAATGCTGGCTAGTTAGTAATTTTGAATGAATGATAATTAGGATATAAATAAAACTAGAATAGATTCTTCTCTCATAAAGCTTGCATGAGTTCACATAAAAACACTGAAAGAAAACTGTCAGTCAATGTAAATTAATAGCCTCTCAATTTTTTAAAGATTAGCATTGAGAGGACAGTGAATAAATGAGATTGAAGAGTCTAATCATGGTGTAATCAGGAAAGCTTTTTATTTTTAATGTACCCTTTTGAGCTGTTTTTTGAGGCTTTTAGAGAGATAGATTTGTAGAAAGAGAAATCCCCAGATGTGGATGCATTCAGTTTTACTCTGTACTATGTTGTTTCTGATATAATATCAGAAAGTCTCTGTGAAGTGGAATTAGAATTTAAGTGAAGTAGTTTCTATAATTTTAATGTAAAACAAAATTCCTGAAAAATCAACATTCTACCTAAAAGACACTACTATGATGATAAATAATAATTGCTAGTTAACATTTAACCATCCTAGACAATAAGTTATCACAGAATCATTACATTTTAAAACAGATATTGTACCTACCTAATTAAGAAAAATAAACAGCAATAGAATTTAATTCAGTTGTGATAAATGTTTATTCATGACAATAAATAAAAAATGTTATGGTGACTTTATCTCTTAGATGCTACTAAATAAAGCTTATTTAAAATCCTTGAGATACCCTTTTTTAAGTTTAGGTTAAATATTAACTGAAAGTATAGACCAGAAATTCTACAAACCCGCACTATTGCATTTACCCTCCTGTCTGCCTCTGTGCCTACTTCTTCTAGCTCCTCTTATTGTGGGTGAACTGTCTATGCTCCTATGCCCATGGGCACAAAGTCCCATCTCCTCCTTCTTCTAAAGATTCTTATTCTAGCAATCTCCCCTCTACTGTGTGATCACCTTTACTCCCGCTAGTGGATCTTTCCCATCTGTACATAAACATGCATTTCTCTCATCTGTAAACAGATTCTTTTTTAAAATATGGTTTTATTGATTTTTAGAGAGAGAGGAAGGGAGAGGGGTAGATATGGAAACATGGATGAGAGAGGAACAGCATTGATCTGCTGCCTTCTGCACATCCCCTACCAGGGATCAAGCTTTCAATCCAGGCATGTGCCCTGATTAGGAATTAAACCAGAAACTTCTTGATTCCTGGGTCTACGCTCAACCACTGAAGCACACTGGCTAGGCTAAAGAGATCTTTTCTTCAGTCCCGCTTTTCCTTCTGACAGTTGCCTCATTTCTCTGCTCCTGTGCACAGCAAATCTCTTTGGTGGTGTATTTATTATCTCCATTTTCTTAACTCTCATTCTCTCTTGAAACCACTATCTTATTGAAGTTGCCAGTGATCTTTGCACATGCTACTTTGGTGGTCAGTTTCCAGTTATCATCTTATTTGAATCATTTCTCCTTCCTTGAAACACTGGACTCCTACTTAGGGCTTTATACTTGCTCCTGGTCTTTGCTCAGATGTTGACATCTCAGAGAGGCCTTCCTATCTAAAATCACAGTTCCTCTCCTCCTAGCCCCGAGTTCCACTTAATCTCCATAGCAGTTCTCACTATCTACATAACTATGTTTATCTTTTTAACTTTTTTCTCCCATAGAATTTAAATTCTATAAGACTGTGGGCATTTGTCTGTTTTGTTCATTTGTGTATCACCAGTGCCTAGAAGAGTACATGGAAAGCACATGGCATATAATAGGCACTCAACAAATATTTTTAGATGAATTTAATTAATGAGCTTTTGTTATTTAATTACTGGACAATAAGTGTCTCTATTGAGGCTTTAGAAATCAGAAATTTTGATTTTTGTCATTATAAAGCTGTTGTCATTTCTCATAGGTATGATGACTATGATTACGGAGAAGTTAATCAATTACTTGAACGAAGCCTGAAGGTTTACATTAAGACAGTGACCTGCTATCCTGAGAGGACTACCAAGCGCATGTATGATAGTTACTGGCGTCAGTTCAAACACTCAGAGAAGGTGTGTTTCATGACTAAACATTATAGCATAGATAGATGTTCAATATGAGAAGTTATGATTATGAAAATATTAATAAACTAGTGCCATTATGGAAATGGAAATGGCATAATCTAGCCAACTTTATATTTATTTGTTTGTTTGTTTGTTTGTTTATTTTTAGCCTTAATCTGTTTGCTCAGTGGATAGAGCAATGGCCTGCGGACTGAAGGGTCCTGGGTTTGATTCCAGTCAGGGACATATACCCGGGTTAGAAGCTTGATCCCTGAGGAAGGGAGAGGGGGGGAGAGAGGGAAACATTAATGATGAGAGAGAATCATTGATTGGCTGCCTCCAGCACACCCTCTACTGGGGATGGATCCTGCAACCTGAGCCTGTGCCCTGACTGGGAATCAAGCTGGTGACCTCTTGGTGCTTAGGATGATGCTCATTCCACTGAGTGACACCAGCCGAGCACAAAAGCCATTTTTTTATAAAGTTTTCTCATGAGTTTCACATCATGTGCATGTTTAGCAATGCCCATGCGTGTATGTTTGTAAATGAGTCTTCATACACAAGAAAAACCTTTGTGAATGCTGTATGAAAAAAGTTTAAAGTTTTTCACTTGTTTACAATGGTCATTAAATTGATAACATTTTCATTCCCAGGTTCACGTCAATTTACTGTTAATGGAAGCACGGATGCAAGCTGAACTTCTGTATGCTCTTCGTGCCATAACTCGGCATTTGACCTGAAGCCTCACCCAGGGAAAATGTCAGATGTGTGTAAAGACCTTTTCACTTAAGATATATACATCAGAAGCAGTTTGTGATGTAGCATCAAAAGTTATTCAATTTTCTGTGTCAAAGTTTAGCCGTTTTTGGGGGCGGCTGTAATGTGCAATGATGTGTTTTCTTTTTCTTGATGCTTAACATTACTAACAATTGCGAGAATAATACTGAGGAGCACTACTTTGCATTGTTTATAGTTGGAGTTTGGGATCATAAATCATGAACCTGGTTTGTTAATGCTTAACTTCAGCGCTTTGGGGTTTATGTGTACGTGTATTTCTCTCCCCACCTTTTGTTGTTGTTAAATAAGGAAAAGCGCTTACAATCTGCTCAAGCAATTGTTTATTCAGATATTGGAATTCAGCAAAGAATAACTCCTCTGGCCACTCCACTTTCCATGGTGTGTCCTAAATCTGGTAGAGGAAAAGCATGCGCTGTTGAACTAAGCTGCTCACAGGACACGGCTCTGTGTCCCCAGGAGATTATTGTCAGGCACTGTTTGGTATTTTTGTTTGTTTTTGTTTTTTTACTGCTATTGGCGATAACGTGAAATGTGATACAGCCATTGTCCATAATTTAATGTGAAATTAATCATGATGAATTCTATAGCATGCTACTGAAATGCCAAATTCAGCTATTTTCTTTCTCTTCTGAAACAGAAGTTTCAGTTTTCCATATCAGATGTGTACGTTAAAGGTGGAATTATGCACAACCCTTCCTATCACTGACAGTAATCCTCCGCCATCTTCAGTTACCAGTGCTCACAGTGCTGCTTATAGTTCATGTAGTTGGCACATGTAAACTTGTACCCACACTAGGCTGACCAAAAATTTTCTTTGCACATTTTTCTTTTCTTGTAGTGTTTTCTATATTGCAGTAAGCAAAAGAATGTTACTCTACCTATATTTTTTTTTTCCTGTTAGGCTTTTAGAACTTATTTTTCATGATTTTTATTATAATAGGTTAAATGGTTTATTATTCAAAATTAAAAATTGTGTTTCCGTGCATTAATGTGAATGAACAACAACAAAAAGAGTGCAATATGTTAAAAAAACATACTAAATTTCCCCCCTACTATGTCACTGCAGAAGTGTCCTTTAAGACAGAGCCATAAAGAAATTTGAATCAGATTTCTTTATTGCACAAGGCTTTCACCTGACTGGGGTTGAACAGTGTTCCTTTCATAAAGCCAAAGCATCCCCTTCCCCAGAAAAATCTCTTTTGGACGACAAGTTTTAAAAAAGTGAACAAGTCTTAGGGGAGGAATATAAGCATCCAAAAAGTCACATTTTTGCATTGGTTTATGTTGCTTGATTAGACTATCTTCACAGAGCACAACATTATGTGTTTATAGCTTTAATTTGTGTTACGTTAATGAACCAGCGAAGTGCCTAAAGAGATGCTTACAGCCATCCGGTAGGACACAACTGCACGGCTTAAACACTTTGTGGTTAATTAATGGTGACTTGAATTGTACACCAACATGCTAATCTTTTAAAAACAGATCAATTTCCTAGTAAATAATATTAAATAGTTAAATTTTGTTAGATTTTCCACAAAGATTTCATCTTAGACTTATTTATTATATAAGACTTTTTCTTTTTCCTCTCTCATGAAAGAATAGTGGGCTAGTGTTTTGTTTAATGATTTACCCCTTTCCATGTATTATCCTTTTCTGGTACAATGCAGTAGGTTTCTTTCTTTTAGATTTTGTCCCAGATGAGAAAATAGAAAGAAGACTGTGAGCCTAGTAACATAAGGCAGTTCTGCATTTTTGGACTCCAGGATCTTCTTTGAAAACTTCCATGTGAGGAAAAAATTACTAATTTTTTTAAGACGAGGGTGGTTTATTTAAAGAGATTACTTAAAGAACTTGTGCCAGGTTTCTTCTGTTTTGTTTATTGATATGCCATAAATTGGCTTTATTCAAATCATATTATATAGATATGTATTTAAAAAGTATATAGGAGAATGGCAAAACCCAGCCGACAACATACATGTCCTTTTAACTTCCCAAACTTTAGAAAACTTTCAAGTTGAGGATCTCTTTTAGTCTTGACATTTGTTTTGTTAATAGGAGTCCTTCAGTTAACAGCCCTATGTTTATTCAGGAGACCTCTATTATAGGAGGAAAATGAATTTTATATATTGAAAAGGAGGAGGAATTCTCACAGAACATCATATGATCTTTAGACCAAAAGAGGAAACAAGGCTTAAGAAACTACAATGGCCACTTCATTTTTGTTGTTTTGCTTTTTTCCCTCAGAAATGTTAAGTAGTTGGCATTTGGGTTACAGAAATTTAGTGCCTTTATTAGATCTCTTTTCTAGCAAGGTTTCTTTCCAGCTCAGCATTGATCCATCTCATCAGTAATCAGGAAAATAAGTTGGCTTGGAACTATAAACAGAAACAAAACAATCTATTCATGAACCTCAGTGAACCAGCCTAGAGAAGGTAACCTCTGGAGGTGCTTCATTAAGCACCTACTCAGACGCATGCGCAGCATTCCAGGTTTTGGGTTCCATTTTACAGCGAGCTTGCTGTGGACTTTACCTAATGCAGACTTGAAATTCCGGTGCGGTTTTCCAGGGTGGTATTTTTCAGAGTATTGAATTTACTATGTAGTAATTTATAGTATAGCTTTTTATATAAAATGTGATATTTTTAAAAGAGCTATCTGGTTCAATTGGTGAAGTGATGTGGTTATACAAGACGCTAACCTATCCCATGGGCTCACATTGTGCCAAACTTTAAATGTGCAAGTGTACATGGGAAAAAATAAAAAGCACATGCGAATGTGAATTCTCTACCTTCCTAGCTTGTTATGTTCAAGTTAGTTTAGTCACCCACTGATGTAAATGCTCGATCAATGTCGATTTACTTTGAATTTCAAGTTTTCCAGCTTCCATTGTAATTCTTCCTTTTTCAGATCCCTTTAAGAAATATCTAAATACTCTGCCATCTGAAATTGAATCTGTCCTTTAGCCGCATCCCTTTACTGCGGGCATGGCCAGAAGTGGCCTCCTAAGGTCCTTGAGATTAGGCCTCTTGGGCAGACTCATAATATATAGAGGAAAAGAGGCTTTTGAGACAGGACGACTTACTACCTTCCTCACCTTTTTGAACTAAGTATATTGTCTCAGTCTGGGGAAGGATCTTTGTCTCATTTGGGGTACTTTTAAAATAAAAGATGGCCAGTGTGAATCTGGCCTTTAGACAGGCTTCAAACCCAAATAATGGCCAAGCTTCACAGGGCTGTTCTAGAACAGAGTACTCAGTGTAAGCTTTATATCAAAATTCTATTTGAACCAGAACCCCTATTTTAATTGTGTGACAGTTCCTAAAATTTTTCAGTGCTTCTGAAAGCTAACTAACATTATTTAAGAACTCTTTTTCCTTTTCCATCTTACAGAGTTTTTTTAATCCAAAAACTTAGATTTGTATGCCACAGGAAAACAAAATTAATCAACAAAGATCTGTGCTTAAAAATAGTTCTCCACTGTAGTGCAGAGTGCATGCGTATATGATGGTAACATTCTTTTAAACTCTAAAGAAATTCATCAGGGAGAAATAAACTAAGTTTCAGTGCATATTATAAAAATGATCTGCACTATACTAGTAGAATGAGGTTTTTGTGTTGTTTTAGTTGTGTTTAAAGACAATTCTGAATTATTCCTCCAGAAAGCTAGACCTTAACCTCTTTATCTAATAGGACTTTTCCTTTTTATGCAAATAGATGGTCTTACATGGAATAAACGTAGGCAACCATAATGTTACATAAATAGTATATGAAATGTTCTTAGGATAATTCAACAGCAAACTGAAAGGCATATGGCTGTACTGTTCAGATCAAGTTTTAAGTTAGCCTGTCTGTATAATCAGAGCCTATTCTAGGTGGTCATCATCATAAACTGTGTTTCCCTATAATATTTCTCTGGAGACTGAGAATCAAAATAAGTAGTCTTTCCTTGAAGCAGTACTGTAACATGAATGTATTCATCTCAGTCAACAGAGCTTACATGCCTCCTGGATGTGCAGCTTATTTTCATGCGAATGTGGCTTAGTTGGCAGTATCTGCTCAGGTGAGACCTAGAACAAAAACAGCAGGGGTGAAATGGACCATAGAGGTAGAGGTATTTGTCAAGGCAGAGCCTGGTGAGGAAGGAAGAAGTTTTCAAAGAACATGTGGGACATCATTCCGAGAGTGTGGCTGTCCTCAGCATCATACACTCATTCCAAAGGTTATTTCCCATCACGGGAGCTCCTGCCTGCATTCCATCCCCCCTTCCCGCCTGCTTTCTCATCCTCCAAGTGCCTCAACCTCTACCCGCTCCCTCTCCTCCCTCTCTCTCAGCCCATCTTGATCTGAATGCCTTGTCACACTACAAACCAAACATCACCAGCCACCTGCTGATAAGTCACCAGCATTTACTTTACCAAGTCATTTTTCTCTCCATTGTCCCAGCTCCCTCTAAAGCCCACAACCATCCAGCTATATTTTGGCTCACCCTTGCCCCAGGTGCCCTACCAAACATTACGCAGCACCACGTGTAATCCTGTCCATCCCAGACTGTTCCACTTTTCCCAGCTGCCAAAATGTCTTGCTCTCCTCTACCTCATCCCCAAAGAGCCTGTAAATTCAGAGTATCCAACCTTTTCATGGATTCACTCTCTGTTGTTCAGTAATACTACTTCCATAGTTAAAATAAATCATAGAAGGTTTTTGCCTTCTAACAAAGTAGGAATCTTTATATTTATACATGATACAGAAAGTGAACTATTTCTACCATGCAGAACTTAGCATTTAACAGGATTTTAAAGTGATGGAATTGCCATTCGAATCTGGATCTGTATTAGGTAGTTAATACTGGTATTAGTCCAAGTTATTTGAATGTGAAGTTCAAGTTCCCTAGGAGTCCAGACAGATCTGTAACCCTTTGGTGAAACGGCAGGTTTCTGGCACA